TTTCTTCGGTTCAGGATCATTTGGTGGATCTTTCTTCGGTTCAGGATCCTTTGGTGGATCTTTCTTCGGTTCAGGATCATTTGGTGGATCTTTCTTCGGTTCAGGATCCTTTGGTGGATCTTTCTTCGGTTCAGGATCTTTTGGTGGATCTTTCTTCGGCTCTGGATCATTTGGTGGATCTTTCTTCGGTTCAGGATCTTTTGGTGGATCTTTCTTCGGCTCTGGATCGGGTTTCTTTTCTTCTTTAGGTTCTGGATCAGGTTTCTTTTCTTCTTTTGGTTCTGGTTTAGGTTTTTTTTCTTCCTTCGGTTCTGGATCAGGTTTCTTTTCTTCTTTAGGTTCTGGATCAGGTTTCTTTTCTTCCTTCGGTTCTGGATCAGGTTTCTTTTCTTCTTTAGGTTCTGGATCAGGTTTCTTTTCTTCCTTCGGTTCGGGATCCTTTTTTGGTTCGTCTTTTGGTGGGTCTTTTTTTGGTTCGTCTTTTGGTGGGTCTTTTTTTGGTTCGTCTTTTGGTGGGTCTTTTTTTGGTTCTCCTTGGGGAGCTCTTTTTTGAAGAATGCTGCCCGTCGGATTTTTTATTCCATCATTAGTTGGAGCAAAATTGACGATAATAAATAATATTACACTTAGTACTAAAATGAGTACAATTGTGTGCTTAATATGTTTAAATTTAAACCCGACACGAGGCATGTTTAATATATTATAAAATAGATTTTTTTTTAGGTGATTATTCCATATATTAATTAATATGATTTCAACTCATTTATATATTTGATCTTTTGTTGTTTTTTTTAAAAAAAAAAAAAAAAAAAATTTTTTTTTTTTTTATATAATTCAGTCTATTTTTAGAAAAGAATAGAAAATGAAATAATCGGTAAAATTTAATTACTCAAGTAAAGGATTTTTGACCATGTATATATAATCAAACTGTAACACAGAAAAAAATTTTTTCTAAATATAAAAAAGTTTCAAAATATATATTTTTTTGACTTTACCTTTTTGTAAAATTAAAGTTTATAAGAAAATTTTTTATTTATATTAAGGTACTAATTTACTTTTGTGAAAAAGGCGGGCTGGAATTTCTTAAAAAGGTTTAAAAATAAATTAATAAACCCCCAATATCTTCAAGTCAATTCATTTGTTCTTGTGGGAAAAGTAAAAATGAATATTTATTAAGAAAATCATCCTAAAAAGGTGTCAAAAACTAATAAAAATCAGGTTATACATCAAGTTCTATTATATTTTTTATTAATATCTTACATCTAAATTCTTAGAATCTTACATTAGGGTGCATTTTTTTTTATTGAAATGAATTGGATTGTTGATCAATAGCTGTTTTCATATTATTCCTATAAATTCTTTGTCATTTATAGTTTCATTAAATAATCAGAAATAGAAATATCCGCCATCTTCAATTCTTTCGATAACAATAATCCCAAACTGAAACAAAAGTTTGCGAAACTTGAGTCATTCAAAGAAATCCCCCTTTTTAACCCCAATAGAAATGAAGAGCTTTTGCATTTTTGTAAAGAACTCTCTCTTTATTCAGCCTATATAATACTCGTATATATGTTAACATATATCGATGTTTCATTATACAGTTTCATGATCTACGTTCTATTTTCACAAATAAAGCCACTTATCCATCCCATCGCATTTTTGAAGCTTTGAGATATAATCGCAGGAATGCGTAACAACATCTTACAAAGGAGAGAAATACATGAATAAAAACAGACTGACTTATTACACCGGGTAAGCTATTAATATTCTATCATCAAAAATCATTCAATAATGGTTGTACAACATAATAATTACCTCATGAATGTAACACTGAAAAAGCCCATTTCTAAATTTAAGATGATTTTAAAGGCCTAAACAAAAAAGGATAGTTAATATAAAAATAGAGTTCGAAACCCGGTAAACAAATTAAATTTCACATGAGTTTAAAATAAAATTGTGCGACAATTTTTTTATATCTAATTTATTTTGACGAAAAATAATTGGTAGATGCAGTGTTAAAAACTGTCAACCATATACCAGCAAAGTATATAACAAACAATATTAATATTTAAACTAAAATTAGATATTCGAATCTTTTCTCTATGCACTTCGGCACTTGTTTATTACTTGTTTATAAAACATAATTTTAGGGTATATCAAAGGGACAGTCATATGATTTGATACATACAATTGACCTCAATATATGACGCGATCTACATATTTGAATAAGTATAATAAAGTATTTTTTGACCAGATCATATATTAATAATTTTGGAAACAATTAGGGCCCAATCTCCGATATGAGATTATCAATCCAAATGGAAGAAAATGTCATTTGATTCTTTTAGCTAAAACTCGATCTGATCACTTATTTGTTTGTTACCATAAAAAGGAAGAAACCAGCTGCACTATACTTCGAGTACTGAACTTGTCTACAGTACTTTATTTGTAGTAAATACGGTAAATAAAAACATTTTTTGACAACCTTGCACAAAATTTTCTCTCTTTATGAATTTATGAAGAAAATTTTTTCTTTCTTTATGATTTACTAAAGGAAATTCAACCCAGACACGCAAATAATTATTTTTAATTTATAATTTGATTATTTGGTTAATAGAATAATTTAAAAATTTTTTATTACTATCTGCACAATATTACATTCCATTTTGTACAATTGTCCTCTTTATTTACAATTTATCGTCGGATATAACATTATATTACAGTATTATTATATAATTATGTTTTTAAACATTCCTTAATTACAGTATATTACACAAGAACCATAATAACTAACGTTGCGGAGACTATAACTAAACTCATTGTAATACCCCATAATCCATGGCTGTTAAAATCGTGTAAAATTGTTGCGGATTCGAAAGTTGTTTCTTCTATCGCTTTGAGGGCAACCGTTTTCACCACTAGTACGGTTGATGGAGGAATGTATGTCGCGAAGGATGTAATTTCTCCCTTAGAGTTTGTTGTTGTAATTGTTGTAGTATAACCAGCAAAATATAATGTAAGTGTTGTCGTGGTTGTTGTCCAATGAGTTATTTTATTTTTCGAGTGTTGTTCATTATTATTATGAACGTTGTTATTACCATCATTTTTATTATTACCATCATTTTTATTATTATTATTATTATTATTATTATTATTATTATTATTATTATTATTATTATCCGGAGTTTGTGATATCGTTTCTATCGTTGTTTCTATAGATGTTGAAATTTTTGGAGGACTACAGTTGCGTAGAGTATTTAGTTGGTACTCTCGGAAAAAAAATTTTTTTTTTATATTAAATTATAAAACTGTACTTACATTCCCGGTGGAGCTTTGCATCTGTCATCATTAGGAGAAGCGCAAGTTGCAGATGGATCTATTTTACTTTTACTAGGAACCGGAGTATTATTACCATTACCACCATCACCACCTTCGCATCCACCTTCTTCTTGTCTCTTTTTCAATTTACATTTTCCTAAAAAGAGGAAAATTTAATTATTTCATCTTGAATATATAATTTCAACATTTACTATACAATATTATTTGTGTTACCCGGTTCTCCATTCTTGGGATCAGGAGCACCGCCCTTTGGTTCGGGATTCTTTGGAGGAATCTTTGGTTCAGGATCCTTTGGAGGAATCTTTGGTTCAGGATCCTTTGGAGGAATCTTTGGTTCAGGATCCTTTGGAGGAATCTTTGGTTCAGGATCCTTTGGAGGAATATTTGGTTCGGGATCCTTTGGAGGAATATTTGGTTCGGGATCCTTTGGAGGAATATTTGGTTCGGGATCCTTTGGAGGAATATTTGGTTCAGGATCCTTTGGTCCAGGATCCTTTGGTTCAGGATCCTTTGGTCCAGGATCCTTTGGTTCAGGATCCTTTGGTCCAGGATCCTTTGGTCCAGGATCCTTTGGTCCAGGATCCTTTGGTCCAGGATCCTTTGGTTCAGGATTCTTTGGTTCAGGATCCTTTGGTTCAGGATTCTTTGGTTCAGGATTCTTTGGTTCAGGACCCTTTGGCTCAGGATTCTTTGGCTCAGGACCCTTTGGCTCAGGACCCTTTGGTTCAGGGCCTTGTCTTTTTCGAAGCATGCCTGTTGTATCTTTTAGTTTATACGCAAAATTAATCGTAACAAAGATTGCAACAAGTACTACAATAAATACAAGTTTATATTTAAATCCAGCATAAGGCATATTGAATACAGAAAATTTTTTTATCATATAAGAGCTACATGAATTTTTTCGTTTTCAGTCTGCTTATATATTTTTTTTAACATAAATTCAGCCCATTTTAAATCAATCCTAATTAATTCAAAAAATGAAACAGAAGGGATACACCGTATTCACAATGTTGTTATTTCCTGTTTGTTTGTTTAAATTTTATGCAAGAGAATTTATAAAATTAAGCATAAATAAGAATTTTTTTTTTTAGAAAAATAAATTATTAATAAAATCAAGCCCACTAACTTTGTGTACAATTATATAAATAAATAACTAATCCACAAACACCTCATTTGCTAATTTGGTATCATGGTTTATAGTAGAAAATTACGATATAACTAAATTTAATAAAATATAATGAGTGTATGTAATTAAAATTGGAGGTTTTAAAAAATTTAAATTGAAAATTTTTCGTTTTTTTTTAAACATTTTTTTGTTTTTTTTTTTTTTTGATTAAAAAAAAAAAATTAAAAAAAGAGAAAATTTGAATCCGCTTTTCCCATTTTTAACGATTAGCTTATTGAGATAATATCTATGTATAAACAATTCATAAAAAGAAAAATTTTTTTTTTATTCTAGATTCTAGATTGATCTCTAATGGAAAAACATTTATCCGTTCCCAATATTTACAAATATCCTTCAGTATGATATATATAAAAATAGTTCGCAGTTTCCTATTAGGAAATTCATTATAATAGAAGCTAACTTTTTATGGGAGTGGTACAAAATGATGACAGTCAATCATATCCATAATATACTTAGTAGCAAGTAGCATAAATAATCCTTATCTAATTTAAGATAATTGAATAACGCACCCTTTTTTGCATAATAATATTCCGGTCGAAGTCATCATAATGCCAGTCAAAATCAGCAAAATGCAGATCAGGGTATTATATGCTCTGTAACCTGTTCGTGTAAGATTTTCGTAGAATCCGAAATGCCCTCTTCGAGGGATGTATTTCGCGAATTAATGCAATTGGATTTGGACATATAAGTGTTCAATTAGATATATATATTTAATTGAATAATGGTTATACTATTCCTGTAGATGTTATGCAAAGAAAACGTAATTTATACTTATAAGTCCTGGCGGGAACTTTGCATCTGGGATCATCAAGTTGAAGTTGGATCTATATCTAGATCTACAGCACTTGAGGGTCCGTTTCATTTGCAAAATAACTTGCAAAAAAAAAATTATTCATCCATTAAAAGATTTATGCAAGTATTGAACGATAATTTTTTCAATGCAAGATAAATTAAAATGAAATTCTAATTATGATTGTTTAATTAAATTTGAATTTTAATTGGAAAATCTCCCGGATTTGATTGATCTTGATTAATCGGCATGTTTTAGGAATTTCCGTACCGTAAAATTAAAAATGGACATTTATCATATGACCTGATAAACAAATTAAAATTTTACTTGAACTTACGAAAGATTAAATTTTTTTTAAAAAATAGATGCTTTAGATGATTTCAGAGAGTGCAGAAATTGTCCACGCCTTGAAGCACAGGATTAAGATTGTAAATTTGATTAATAAATAACGACATATTTCCTGTTATATTCAAAGTCGCTATATGAAATCTGCGCTTGTATTTTCACCTCTTATTCCTGCCGAGTAAGAATAAAAAAGGTTGAAAAATCTTAAAGAAACATTCCTATTCCAATGAATTAGTCGTGCATGCATGAAAGCGAATTTTCCTCTTCGCGTTCGTGATATTAATGCTGTGATAACAATGAAGTAAATGCGAAAGAAATAGTGTTAGATTGCAAGACACATAGTTATTTCCTGAGATTACCATCTTAGCTTCCAATAATCAACACTTCATTTCCATAACGTCATTAGTAGATCAAAGTATGTCCAGCCACTGGACAACAATAATAAAGTCGCGATTTTGATATACCATCCATGATTCGTCGGAGGTTTTTTACTAGATGATTTAACTGTAATTAATTTGTGTAAGTTAAACCTTTAAGTTTTTACATTATTCTGGCGGATTCATTTGGATGGTCATTATTAAATGTAAGTCTTTAAAACTATTAATGTACTATGTGACATACAAGGAAAAATTATTTGCATTCCTTGACTTTTTGATTTCAATTTCGGAAACTACTTGACTTTGAGCGTTCAAAATAGATCGAGGTTCGAGTTCTTACCAGACCGCAACTGTATTTATCATGCGACGATTACTTTTAAAGAATTTAAGGGTTTTGGATGCCTCGTTCATCAGGAAAAACTTGTCCCTGACTTTTAATTTAATGCTACATTTTAAGATGATGAATAATTCGTTCAAATGTACCATACTTTTTCTGCAAGATCGATGCATACATGCATACATGCATACAGATAATTTAAGGATAAGCGATGGATATTTTCTAGTTCGAAAAGTATAGTTTATTTCGTGTTATTGTAACATCTTTATTGAATGTTTAAAAGCTAAGGTTAGCGATCGATGTTGAAGTTAATTTCCGAGAAAATAAGGCCAGTAGCATATGTTAATAATACTATACAGTATTACCTAATATTAACTTTATAAGGAGTTTTATCTACCCCAGGTAATATTTTTAATAATATTTTTAATATTATTTAAGTATATAAATGATAATTTCAACCAATTAAAATATACATCATGCAAAGATTTTGCTTTACCTTATCCCCAAGACATTAGTACTTAAATATTATTTAATATCTGTCCCTAACCCTACGGCGGTAGAAGCCTGGGTACGGGTTGAATTTTTGGCAAAAACTCATAATCCCGGTTAGTACTATCTATATGTAATAATAAAAAATTATTTTTTTTTTAATTCTATCAATTTTATAGTAATTTTCTACCAATTACCTTGGAATTTTAATGTTTTCTTACTAATTAGCAATGTAAATTTACATTCGATTTAGTCCAACAACACAACGTGATAAGGTAAATAATTTTTATAGCTATCCTTTTTTTTTTACACAGGTTTTATGTACCGAGCCGGCGCAAGGTGCTTATTTCATGCAAGTATGCAAGTCTCTACCCTATGGTATTCGAATAACTTAATATTTTTTTATATACGTTTTTGCTATGATGCGTCCATCAAGTGTACCATTTCCTGACGTGACAAAATATTTATTTCTTTACAAACCGTATAATTTGATCTTGACTTGTACAATTTCCTGACGTGACAAAATATTTCTTTACAAACCGTATAATTTTTGGATCTTGACTTGAGGTTTGTACAATTTCCTGACGTGACACAATATCTTCTTTACAAACCGTATAATTTGATCTTGACTTGTACAATTTCCTGACGTGACAAAATATTTCTTTACAAACTGTATAATCTTTGGATCTTGACTTGAGGTTTGTACAACTTCCTGACGTGACACAATATCTCCTTTACAAACTATCACAATCCTATCACGGTGATAGCTTTTCATATTTTTATCATTATAAATAGATCCAAGTTAATTTTAGTTTATTTACCAGAAAAGTTTGATAATACAGATAATACATAAATGCATGTTTAATTAACACTCTTTCGACTTGACTTTTATGATTCTCATTATTATAGCGAATTAAAAGTACAGTTATAAGACGACCTCGACGATACAACTATATAAGATTCTTACGTGAGAATGAGTCTGGTTCATTTCAATCATTTCACCGACAATTATCTCATTAGCCTTAATTTCTTACTTAACCTAATCCTAGCCCTCTTACATTACATAAACACGTGATTCTTAGTATAAAATAATTTTTTTTTAAATACTAATTTTAATAGATGTATATATATACTTAATTAAATAGTACAGTGGTTAATAGTATAAGTTGAGGTATTTGGCCTAATGCCCTACCTAATCCTAATACTAAGCCCTAATTTCCTAACCTAACCCTAACAACCCTATTCCGAACAACCTTAATCCTAAGCCCTAACAACTATAATCCTAACTCTAATCCTAAATTCCTTAGTCGGTGAGATGAAACATTTGTCTGCGAAACGACCCTGTCAATGAAACGTCTGTCGGTGAGATAATTGTCGGTGAAATGAATGTGACTCGTGAGAACATCAACGATATATTTTAAGATTTTCATATGGATCCTGAAATATCTTTCAGAGATTTTTTACGTTTTTAACTATTGGATCTGCATAATTTGGCCGAGATAATTTTGGCCTAGATTTACATAATATGGACAAGAGCAATAATATATCATGTGATAAAGTTTCAGGTAAAGTTTATTAAATTTATTACAAAAAAAAAACTCATACATTATGCATTTTAACTAAAAGATATATATTGAATTCCCATAAAATAACCGTAAAAATTGATTTTTCTGCTTTTAATTGGTAGATCAAATCCGATTTCAGAAATCAAGATCTGACCAATAAAAATTTTTAAACTATCATTAAAAAAAAAAAACAATAATAATAATAACTAAAGAAAATAACAAAAAGTTCGAGATTCTTGAGATTCTTTTTATTAAACAAAAATAATGCCTGCGCCATTCTTTCTCTAGCGAATCAAAAGTTTTTCCGAATTTAAAAAATGAAAAGAAAATAAAAATTTTACTCTTCATTCATTTCATTTTTTATTTATTTTTTTTCTTTTCTCTCATTTCATTTTTTTTCATTCAAGCTTTTTTTTTTTCAAAAAAAAAAATCTTTATTAATTATTTTGATGATTTTCTGAGTTAAGAAAAAAAAGTATATATTTTTTTTGGTTAATTTATAAAAGATAACATATTTTTTTTTTTAAGGATCTTTACATTTAAATTTTTCGTGTCACATATTGGATTGGTATTATAAAAAAATGTTTTTGACATTTTATTTTTGTACTTCTTAATCTTTTAATTTCGAGATCAAGTAAAGGTTTTTTACACGATTTGAGAAATAAAAAAAAAAAAAAGAAATCGAATTTTCGACAGG